TATTAGCTGCAGGCTTTCAAGTAAAAAAAAAATGTAGGTCACGCAATATTATGTGGGATAATAGCAATTGTTTCAGCTTCAGGAAGCAATAAGTAATGGAGACTCACTCGTTGTCCGGTGTGGACACATCCAGCTGGTAGTGAGCGCCGGCACCGGCTCTTCACACAAAATTGGGCACTCTTTCAGCTTCTGTGTCCTGCCTCTCTCTCCTCTCGCACCCGAGGAGCTCCGGACCAGAGCTGCGCGGTCCCCAGCCCAGGGTTTGGACAGAGGGGGTTGAAGCACACCCCTACTCACCCCAAAGGACAAGCTTGGCAACCCCAGTATTTAGAAGTAACAATGTAAAAATAACCTAGGCAAGAATTGTGGAGACTTCAGACAGGAGCCCGTGACGCACATTTTAAACTTCTCCTTAGAGGTGACAGCATGGCGAGATCTCCCTCCTTCTGCCCCTCAGCCAGCAGAACCCACTAAACTCATCACGCAAAAGAAACCCTCTCTGCACCCGTTTCTTGTCTTCAGAGGAGCCCTTCCAACCTCGGGATGTGCAGAGCTGTGAATCTTCAACAGCTCTTTGCCATCACCAGTGCTCGTGGGCAGCAGATATGAAAGCCAAAGGCAGGGAAAAGTGAAACGCGGAGTTTACACGTAAGAAAATGGTTTGCAGCAAGAAAAATCTTTGTGCCTGCACCCTGTCGAAAGGAGCAGCATCAGGAGAGGACTTCTCCGAGTCAGCCCAAGCCGAGACACCACACATAGCAAATGTAACCTACTTGCAAGTCAACTGTGATCAAGGCGAAGCAGAAAGGTTGCCAATTAAAAACACGGAACGATTTCAAAGAACAAAGAAATCTGCGGACATTGTTTGATCGTGCATACTCTGCAAGAGGGAGGGGGGGAGGAAAAAAAAAAAAAGCCTAAAAATAGGCTGGATGCTGTGAGCCAGATCCTCAGCCTGGCAAAGACACCGGCTTCGGGGAGTTAGGCGGCTTTACCCATGCAGCCGTCATTGTTGCTAAGTTCTGATCTCTATTTAAACTTGCAAAAGGTTTTCTTTTCCTGCAAAAATACAAGAATCTCCCCCCTCCCCCCCATCTTGGAGCTCATCTCTCCTAAAGCAGCTCACATGATGATGATCAAAAATAAGCCCTCCAAGCCTAAGCTCGCTAACATTCATTTCTCTCCTGCTAATGCCGGACTTCTTACTGTTAATCCTTAAATATATCCTTAAATAAGAATGACAGTACCTGAAGCGCCTAACAACCCCGTATCATAAACACAGACAGCCTCTGCATTCCTAATTTCGCTTGCCACAGGAGAGATGACACTAATCCCAGATCCCGAGCCCCGGATATCTCCAAGGTAAATGCCATCGCCTTGCTCACCTTGACATTACAGAGCAGCCTCAACTTTCCTTGTCCTGCTCAACTTTCCTTAACTGGTTGTTGGGTTACCGCATCAAACAATGCCAATTTTTTGCAATCTGCAGTTGCAGATAACTCTTTCTTGGTCTAAGAGTCCAGTTTTCCAAGGGCTTCAGAGCGGCACGGTGGCATCCAGCCACCTACTCAGCCTAACTACGAGTAAATGGATTTATTCCCCAAAATACCAGGAACCTGGGGAAGTGGGTGCACTTAGGACGCAGGAAAAGACCGCTTGACATTTTGCAGGGACTCCAAAAAGCAAGCGAGGCTTTACAAAGAAGAGCTCGCCCATCATTGCCTGGTGGATGTTAGTATTTATCTCCAGAAAGGCAATCTGAAAACAAAAGGCTACAAGGAACCGCAGCTGCCTCCTGCAAAGCGGGCACCAAACCCGGCAACTAAATGCAATCTCTAACTTCAAAAGCAGAGGAGGAGGGGAGGAAAGGATTTCAGCCACGCTCCGCAAGCAAATTGCAGCACAGCTTTAACTCCACACCGACTTCATGGGGCTCGCAGGGCAATTACCCCCATCGGGGGGAAGGTTAGCGCGCCGCAGCTGCAAGCCAGCCACCAGAAATACCGCCGGAGCGGTGAGAAGAAGCGGCAAGTGCCAAGAATAAGCCAGGCACGAGCCCGAAACTTTACTGCAAGCCCCCGTGGACCCAGCAGCCGCGCCGTGGGCCAGCTCCAAGCTGGCGAAGGGAAGATGCCAAAGCCCATCATCCTGTCAAAGCCGGGATGGGCAGCGGTCCCCCCCTGCAAAGCATCTGCCGACGAGGTGCCGCGGTAGGAATAACCAGTTGGAGTGAGCTCTTTGCTCCAGCCTTCTGCAAATTTGCTTTGCACCAGCTACGGGCACCCCGGAGCCGAGCGGGGCGCTGGGTCTTTGACATCCAAATTGGCTCCGCTGTGCTTCGGAGCAGCGAGAAGCCGGCGCTGTGCTTTAACGCATCGACTTGGGAGGGTCTGTAACTGCTGGAGGGGGTCTACCAGGGGGTTTGGGGAGCCTGAGCATCCCAACCCACCGCGTCCCCGCTGCTGGGCAGCGGGAGGGATGCCTGAGGGGTGCAGGTGAGCATCCCAAATAGCCGCAGGTGGGCAGCATGCCGGCTTCAACGCCGTCCCCTCGCATCCCGTGGGTCCGCACGAGTGTGGCTCGAACGGCAAAACGGGGCTCAGCGTGGCTCTGCCCCAAAGCCAAGCGCTGGCTCTCCTCGCTTGGATTCTCATCCCGGGGCAAAACGGAAAGGATAACGCCTGCCTAGCTCCCAGGTACCCCAAAAGGTTGTTAGTTATACAGCGCTTGCTGCAAAGCATTGCGTGTTAGTCTTCCAACACGGATTTGAGAGATGGACGAACGCCCCCGAGGCTCACACCTCTGCAGGACAGGGCAACTACGCTCCAAAAATCAGATGCTGCGGCGGCGGAGAGGCGCAGGTTTCCCGGTTTGATTCCTATCGCAGCTGCGATAAGCAGCAACCGCAGTCCGGGAGCGGGTTCAGCTTTCAGGCTTTTGTTCCGAGCTGGGATTTTGCTTCGGGCCCATCCTTAGCCAACAGTGAAGTGGAACAAAATCCACTAGAAGAAAGCATTTGGTTTCTCCGTTTCTCTGGCCAAGGTCTGGTTCCCCCTCGCTCACACTCCGGTGGCTTAGGAAAACAAAATCGCGCTCCTTCTGTGTATCAGATCACACACGCAAATGGGAACTGGCACACGTCGCCGTCGCTCACCGGCAATTTCTGCTGGAGGAAGGAGACTTAGATCTAAGCACGCCTGCGGTATATACAATTTACATCCCACTTAAAGACTTAGAAGGGGAAATAAGGGGACTGCGCCGTGCTTGCCTTCTGCTGGACCTGCTTTCATCCTCGCATGGAGCACGCAAAGCTTTGTTCTATGCAATAACACTCAAGGATATTTCTCGGCGCTGCCAAACCTTACAATATAACCGAGTATTTCATAACAGCTCTTATTTTCCTTTCAAGCCCCAGCTCTCAGTCGTATGTGGTTATACGACAACCTCGGCTTTCATTAAGGAAAAAGAAACCCTTCATACTCCTCCCTCTTCCCCTTCCAAAAAAAAAAAAAAACCAACCGAAAAAAAAAAAAAACCCAAACCCAAATCAAGCAAAAAAGACCCAACAAAGCAGCAATGAAACACTTCAGAAACCACCTCCGCTCTTCAGACACACGGTTTGAAAGGCGAGGCTCCGGGTTTTGATTCCGCGAGCTCTGCCATGCTCACCCCGTACCGCACGGGAGCCCCGCGGAACAACTCTCAGGCTCCTTCCCGTCTTTAATCTGTCTCAGCAGGCACAATAAACAACTACAAATGGAATAACAACATCGGAAAAAAAAAAAGGGGGGGCTGGGAGGAGGGGAGAGAAGATGCCATAATGCAGAGAAGGCCTGAGATACCAGCGAAGGCTTTTAAGAGCCATACATGCTAATTACGGTGTTAAAAATCTGTCAGTCGAAGGGATGGATATTAAATGGAATTGGCTTGAGATGACAGGGCTGAGCGGGATTTTAAAAAAAAAAAAAAATTATTAAAATGGCTCGGGATACAAATTAACGTTCTTAGTTCAAAACGTATTATTGTCTCTCTGGCTTTGATCTGCCGAGCACTCGGAGCGCTGAATGGGAAAGGTTGTCAAATCTCCCCCCGCGCGCGCTCTTAAGCGACTCCGCGTCCCTCGCCGAAATATTACTTTGCCATTCCCTCCAGCAGCACCTCTCCTGACATCCCCCCCATCCCCGGGCAAGCCCTGCGCTCCCCAGCCCTCACGTGCACCACGCTCCGTGGCACCGGGCAAGCTGCCCCAAGGGCACTTTTGGGGTGAAAGAGCGTGGCCAACCACCCCCATGCTCGCGACTGATAGAAAGCCTTGCTGCCCCAGCTTTTTTTAAACAAACTTTGGATCTACAAGCCGGGGATCGCCTTTGCCCGGCGCAGAGCATCTTTAGGAAGGACTCAGCTCCCTCCCTCCTGCAAGCAGCCGCTCCATCCAGACAGCAAATAGCACATCTATTCGAGGAAACCAGAGGCTGAGGGGTGTTGCCCACCTCCAAATTAATGGGGGAAAGGGGCCAGGAGCAGCAGCACAGCATGGTTGTCCTTGGAAAGCCTGGACGAGGTGCGACAGCCCCAATACAGCCCCTTCGGGAGGCTCCAGCTCCCAAGCCCTGCCCTTGCGGTCCCTGAACCAGGGAACACAGCTCAGGAGCAAACCCCTTCCCAGTGGAAAACCTTACGTGCCTTCTCAGGCAAGCCCATCACTGCTCTGCACCCTCACACCGGGCCGGGGAATCGCTCTCTCCCCTGCCCGGGGTCAGCCATCCCACGCAAATTCGCCGACACCAGCCACGTGCCTTGGCTCTCTATAGAGTTCACTCCGCTTGGCGCCCAGGTCACCTCTTCCTTCCTGCTTTATCTCTTCTTATTTTTATTTTTTTTTAATTTTTTTTTTTTTTTAAAAATGTCTGTACAATTTCACTCTCGATAACACACAAGTTAATTAAGCCGTGATCTCCTGGAGACAGGTTGCTACAAGGAGATAAGCAGCAGCTTCTGTTCGCCATAAACAGCTGTGCTCCTGACCAGCTTCTGGGGATTTGCTGCTTTTTGTACAGAAGACAAAACAATCATTGCCAATTAAACCTGGACATCATATTTTCCCCACCATCGGTGAGGCTCTTGACGTCACCTTCCCCATGATCCTTCCAGAGGAGTCGAGCGGTGTACTGCATGGCTTAGGGGAAATTAATACCTGAAGTCGTAGTACGCCAGATAATGGTGTTAATTCAACGGCAGCACAGCTGTGCTGCTTAAAAGACAAAAGCCACTGCACTTCCAGTAGAGTTGTGTCAATAATGTGTGTTCAGTGGGTGTTTCTTAAAGAAATTTTGGATCTAGAGCCATGGAAGGAAAAAAAAAAATCCCAGAGATTAAATAAAAATAAAATATAATAAAAAACCCCTGCAGAGTCAAGCAAAATGTTTTATTTGACCCAAACAAAACTTCTACGGTTTTGCAGGGTTTACAAGGGCTGGGTGACAGCGACCCGGGGGCTTTGCAAGGGCTTGGGAGGGACAGAACTGGAATTCAAAAGGTCTCACATTGCTGGAGAAATGGTCTGATGTGAAAAGCAGGGAATTCAACAAGGAAAATCATGAAGCAGGAAAAATCAAAGCAAAACCAAACAATTTTGCTCTGCCCTGTGTGGGAGACCTTTGCTCGGCTTCCTACCTGCTGTTCTTCAGCCACTGCAGAACCACTGTTTTTCACCAGTTCTCACCAATTTCACCAGTAGGACGATGCCAAAACACCAATGTGGACCCAGGACCATCCACAAAATGGGGAAACTAACCCTGACCTCGCTCTGCACCCACAGCTGGAGGATGCTCCGACCCAGCAGTGAGGAGGGACCTGGAGATGCAGAGAGATGGACCCACTGCACCCACCAGCGATGCAGGGCTGGGTGCTGGACCAGAAAAAAGTCCCCAAAATGGCAGGATCCGAGACTTTCACACTTCTGGATGCTCAGAAACCTCCTCTTGGGCTGCTCTGCTGCCGACACAATTACCAGAATATCACAAGTGATATGTCAGGAGCTGCTCATTAAACACAGTCGCTCTGTCTTGGGGGGTGGCGGGGAGAAAAGAAAGGTGGGGGTTCCTTTTTTATTCCCCTTGAATGGTGGCTTTAATGATTTCAAATCCCTTCAACCCAATTACAGCTCTGTATCCTGATTAGGGACTCTGAGCTATTGTGCACTGGAGCCATTATCTGGCGGCCCATAGAAAAATTAGTACCTGGAGAGGCTGCGCTGGGAAATAAATCTTTCCCTGACATTTTGGGACCAATTCTCGGCCAATTAGAGCACACTTTGCTGTGTAGGTAATGTGTATCCAAACTGCTCTCCCTGCTGAAAAGGCCAAGCAGAGAACAAGTGTAATCCATGCAAAAGAGAAGGGAAAAAAATTACCCACTGCAGACTTGTAACTCGCCGCTGCTCCCCGACAAGTTACGCGCCCCGCTGCAAAGAGCTGTCTCGCCCGGCGGCGACAACCTCCCTCTAACCCCAAAGCCATGGGGCACAGAGCACGAAAAAAAAAAGATGCCCATCTTTGTGCTGCCAGCCCCATCCCTCCGCTGTTGCCTGTCCCATCTCAGAACCCGTGTATCGCTTTTAAACATCTCCGAGCGGCGGGTGTCTGAGGATACAGAGCACAAAGGATGGATATAACGCCAAAGAAGGGGACCTGGCTGGTGACAGATGTGTCCCTCAAGGCATTTGACCTTCCAGTGATGACAAGTCTACCCAGGCAGCAAGGTGATGGAGCATGGGCTGTGCATGGGCAAGGATCTGCATGGGCAAGGGGGACCCACAAAGGGGACATTGGAGATCGCCAGACTGGGGCCGGGGGGGAGAAAAGGGCAGCAATTTCTGCTGGTTCAACAAGAGAAACACAGAGTCCCCACAGCAAAACCAGGAGGAAGCTCTTTCTGAGGCATTCCTCCTTCGCTGGCCCTTGTCTGGCTGATTTTGCCCCTCTCTGTCTCCTCCTCTACCCATCGGCTGAAGCTGTTCCTTGCAGAGGCTCCTTAATTGCTAGAAGTTTAAGATAACCTCCCAGCCCCATAAGCAGGGCCGTGGACAACCCTCCCAGCCTTCCCCGTGGTGCAGCAGGAGATGCTCCCCCAGCCCCCCTCCGCAGGGGGCGCCCGGCTCTGCCTCCTCCCACCGCTCTCCTCTGCGGTGTTTCCAGGGCAATGGGGAAAACAAGGATTAAAACAAAACTGAACCCCAGATGGAGAAGATGCTCCATCCAACGACCTGCCATGGGAGCTTGGACAAATGGTATGGGGCAGGTGAGCAGCAGGCACAGCACTGCACGACGTTTTGGGCATGGAACAGTCTTGGTGGGGACAGAAACTTCAACCACGTAGTACCTCCCGGCTCAGAGAAGGTCTCATGCTCCCAGAGCACACCCGGGGATCTCTGCAGCCTCTGGGTTGCCTCCTTGGTGGCTTTGCAAGGTGGGAAAAGCCTGGCTCTACCTTATGGGTGAACGTTGAAATGAGCAGTAGTCTTGACCACCCATCCCTCCAGGCTAAGAGGACCAAACGAAGAGCTCAGACCACAGCAGAAGGCGGGTATTCCCCACACCAGCCTCCCCCAGCACACAGAACCCCAGAGCTCCCACTGGCCCCCAACTCTGAAACAGCAAGTCGAGCTACAAACCCCACGTTCACGCCGCATTCGCGCTTGCTTCGACAGCAAGATCACGGAGAGCAGCCCTGCCTGCCACCGGCGCAGCATTCCAGCTGTGCAGGCATTCACGGCACAGCTGGCGCCACGGTGATGGCAGAGCTGGTTGCTCGGCACATTAAACCGGTGCCTCACGTCGCCTTTTAACACCGTCCTCGCTCAGCCGCCCGGGGGAGGCAGCAGGAGAAGGGATGGAGGGTCGGCGGGTCCGGCACGCAGTCGGAGCGAGACGGGGAAGGCGCACACGCGGGCTGGACCACGACGCATCTCCGCTATGGGGTCGGGCTAATGTTGCACGGGCACCTCGATTCAACTTTTTGTCTATAATAATACCCTAACGGTGAGCGGTTAAACTCATCCCCGGTGAGATGATGATCATAGTTAATGGAATTAATGCAAGGTTTTAATTTGCCTCTCGCTGCTCGGTCCTAGCAACTCCCCAGCCTCCGGCAGAAGCGCCAAAAATATGGTGTTTGATCTTCCCTCCCCTGATACTCATGTACTTTTCATAGTATTCACCATCTGGAGGTGAGAAAACCCATCAGGCCCCCCGGCTCCGCTGCAGCACCGATGAGCAGGCAATCTGGTGCTGCAGCCACAACGCACGCTCTCCCGGCTCCCCCTTGCCTGCAGGGCTGTAGCAGTTGAATTTGGGGACCTCAACGTGTGGTCCAGCAGCTTCTGGGAACGGGTTTGGGGCAAGAGAGGTCAGCAACGCCGGGCTGACACGGCCACAGCAGTCGCCGGCATCTCCTCTTTGTGTAGCAGCACCCGGGGATGCCACCAAACCTTGTGTAAACGAGGGAGAAATAAGCGGATGTGGTCTGAATTTGGGGATGCAAACCTAAAAGCGGGTTTGGGGGCTGCTGGGAACGCTGCTGGGAACACTGCGGGCGGTCGGGATGGCTGAGCCGGCGGGGAGCAAGCCCAGCGTGGAAAAAAAACCTGCAAAACCGAGTAAAAGAACTGGCCAGGAAAAGCCTGATCCAAATAGACTGGGACAGCAGAGATGGGGGGAAAGGAAAACAGTATTAAAAAAAGCAGCGGTGTGTTGCTGAAATGAGATTAGAACAGTAACAGGTTCACTCCCGTGCCAGCTAAATCCCCATTAAATCAGATTAATGCAGATGGTCTCTATGTAACTGACCAAGAAGATCAATATTGTTGTTTCAGTTGGGGAAGGAAAAAACTTGTCCTGTTTGACAAAAACATATCATCGATTACATACAGCAGCCTCCATCGCAGCTACCTTGCTCAGTACCACCAAACTCAGGCCGGCTAGGTGGCACTGGCTACATCAAAACCATCAGGGGTGGCTCATTCCTGTAACCCATGGCCACTCCGGGGGCTAACAGAGGGGTTTTTTTCTTTCTCAGAGGGAGGAAATTTGGGGGTTCTGCCCTTGGCAGGGCTGCGAAGCTCCGTGCCCCACGGCAGGGCATTGCTGGGAATTCCCCCCGCAGCCACACAGCTGCATTTCTAATCCGTCCAGAAGTTGTCCTGTGGCAGCAATACTGAAAAAGCTCCATCCCACCCCTAAGTCACATCCACGGTGTTCTTTTCTATTATTCCTCACTCCTACTAAACCCGCTCCTGCGTCTTGCTGAGGACAGAAATACATCTCCCTACACAGCAGGCAGCGAACATCGTTGGACCTACCCCCTCCCGCAGCCTCTCAGCCCTCCAGGATCCACCAAGAGTTTGGAGAATAAAAAAAAAAAAGGGGGGGGGAGGCAGGGGAGGGAAGGAAGAGAGCGCAGGAGAGCCTGGGATTAATTTTTCCCGGAGCCATTATCCAAGGGCCTACGGCACAATTAGCACCCGGAGAGGCTGCGCAGCGATGTAAATCTTGCCGTGACATTTCAGGACCGATTCCCCAACTATTAGAGCGCACCGTAAATGGGCTCATCACGACAAAAGCCAACCCCAGAGGATGGGAAAAAATCCATCCGGAGGAGAGACGGAACGATGGCGTTGCTTTGGGATGGGGCGGCGAAGCGGTGATGGGGCGGAGCGGTCCATGCACCCGCAGCACTTCTCCCGCATCGCAGCAGGGGATGGGGAATCCTGTCCGCTGGCTGCCGAGACCTCAAAAGCCCATCCAAAAGCTCTGGGCCCAAGCCTAAGCTTTGCCCAGCGTTTGGAAAAGCACCCAGGAGCTCTGGCTCCCTTCTCTCCCCCATCTCATCACGAGGGATGCATGAGATGCTCCGCAGAAAGTGCTGGTTTTGGTATTCAATCCCGGTTTTGCACAAATGGGAAACACCAATGTCTTTCCATGAACATGCCAATTCGCTCGCCTTTTTATTCTGGTCTGTAATTCAAAACTCTTATGTTTAAAACAGTCTTTTGCTGCAACCTTTCCTTTACATTTGCTTTATATCAGCCCTAAACCTGAAAGCTCAAATGCAAACAGAAGACTACTTGGATTTTGTCGAGGCAAAAGAGTGAAATCCAGTCAGAATATTTTCCCGGATTTTAAAGCCGGTGACATTTTGAAATGCTTTGTTTGCGAGACCCAAACGATTATTTTTAAATTTTTTTTTTTTTTTTTGGATACTGCCATCCATGCAAACACCACTTCCAACCTCAGCTCCTGTTTTTTCCAAACAATTTGCCCTCTACAAGAGCACATTTCCTCCATCCCCCATCCTACCTGCTTTGCACCGGTGCCTCTAAGCGCTCTCTAAAGGCAGCACCTCTGCTGCCAAATACACTGCGATTCCTCACGGATCACAGCTGCTTAGCACAAGGAGGGGGAGCTATAAGGATATCTAACTTTGTAAAAAATTACCCTCTTTTCCTACCTTTGCCATCCTCTCACCAAACCTGCGGCGCCGGGGTGGGCTGCGAGGGGTTAAGGCAGGCAGGGCTCAGCCCTGCCTGTGGAATCCCCCTCGGTGCTCAAAAAGCTAAAAATAATCATCAATTGCTTCCCCAGGTAGTGTTTTGCCGTCCCTTGGGGGAATCAATCCCAGCATCAAAAGGAAGGCATCTCCAAAGGGCTCCGGCAGACGCAGAAACGCAGGCGCAAGGATGGGGGATAACTGCAGCAAATCATGTAGTCAGCACCCCCCTGTCCCACCTGGGGCTTTGGATTTATTTTTTGATTGGTTTTTATTGTCTTTTTTTTATTATTATTATTATTTTCATTTTTAAAGTGGTGTTTTTTTGTTTTTGGGGTGGTTTTTTTTTCCAGATCTGCACAGGAATGAGCAGCAGAATTCTCAAGTTTAATTTAATTAGCACCTCCTTCCTGCCTGGAAATGGCTTTTCTTCAACCCTGACGGTTTCCATCCTTTGCTGCCTTCCTTTGGCTAACATTGACTACTTCCCTCTGTGTTTCTAATGGACCTGAAAGACTCTTGTTACATACTTTATTTGTGCTCCGGCACCAGCGAAGATAGACTAAAAGCTGCTGGGGGAATAGATTCAGATGGCGAAGGGATGCAGCATGCCCAGCGAGGGGGGAGAAGCAGCACACGCGTTTTTTCTTTCTCTCTCTCCATCCTAGGGAGATGCTGATTCATTTCATTTTTTAATTGTATTTATCCCTCAGCAATTGGCGGCGGCCACGGAAGTGACAGTGACACTAGATGGAAGGCAGCTAATAAGTACCAGCATTAAAGAAAAACCCCCGTGTGCGGCTGCAGAGCGCTGTAAATCAGCGGCTGTGCAGGACAAGAGCCTCGACTGCCAACGGCCCCGCGCGAAGCCCTGGGCACACCGTGTTCACAGAGCGGGGAACGCATTTGAAAAGCAGAGATTACCTCTTACGAGCCCCTGCGTGTTGAGGGCAGTGGTGAAGCTCCCAGATCAGCAGCTGGACTTGCAAATCATAGAATGGTTTGGGTTGGAAGGGACCTTGAAGACCCATCTCGTTCCACCCCCTGCCCTGGGCAGGGACACCTCCCACCAGCCCAGGTTGCTCCAAGCCCCGTCCAACCTGGCCTTGAACACCTCCAGGGATGGGGCAGCCACAGCTTCTTGGGGCAACCTGCCCCAGGGGCTCACCGCCCTCACAGGCAACAATTTCTTCCTAATATCTAGTCCATGTCTCCCCTCTTTCAGTTTAAAACCATTCCCCCTCATGCTACGGCTCCACTCCCTGATGAAGACACCCTCCCCACCTTTCCTGGAGCCCCTTTAAAGTACTTTAAATCCCCTTGAATATAGCTGACCACAAACACGAAAGGAACAACCTGCCTGCTCAGGTGTTCCTTTCCCTCCCCCGAAAAAAAAAAGCACCCATGCAACCCCCTCCTTCCTGCAAGCAGCAGAATTGGCCTTGAAGACACCTCTCCCACAAGCCGGGCATTATTATTCCAAATACAGCCTAACTGCACGGGGCCGGAGAGAGCGAGGGGGCCTTGATTGGCACCGAAGGCTTCGCTGTGTCCTACCAAGCGTGTTTGGGGATGGGAAGGGGGTCTGGCGTTGTGGGGGCCAGCGAGCAGCACGCAGGCTGGGCATTAAGGTCCATTAGAGGCTCCCTGAGAAAGCAGATGGACCTCGCCTGCCATCGGGGACACCGGGGTTACTCTCACAAAAAACACAGGGGGGTGTACGTATGACCTGCCTGTGTGCCTGCTGTTGGACGAAGTTACGTAAAGAATTATTTTCCAAGCAGCGTTTTAATTTCTCACTGAGAAACGGACCTCTCAAACACTTCTGCTTCAGTTCAGAAGAGGTTTGGGGAGCTCTGCGCTGTGCTGGCCAGGAGGACCTGCAGGTGTCCGCTGAAAGCCCTGCGTTTCTATGAGGGAAAAAATGTAAGCGAGTGTTTACAATTGTCTGCTTTCAGAGACATTTTCCTCAGAGAAAGGGAAAAGAAAAACAAATCCCACTTGACCATGCCCTTGGCTCCGGCAGGCTGCTATTTAACCCCTTTGTCACCCAGAACGCTGTACTGGGAGGTGAGTACGGTCACCTATAAGCGTATAGTCCTATACTGCGCCAGCTATAGCGCTGTTAACCACGATGCTGGGAATGGATTTGCACCGGGGAGCAGGACAACACCCGGAGAGGGGATGAAACCCCACCACGCTCGGCACGGCACAACAGAAGGAAGGGAAAGCACGTGGAGACACAGTCCAGAGCTCTTCGATCCCAGGCAGAGTCTCCTCCACCAGAGACCGCTGCCCCTCCAGCCAGCATCTAAAATCATCCGAGGGCCGGGTCAAACCCTCACGGGCACAACCAAGGTGGGTCAGACCCGCAGGTGATGGAGATACGCAATATTCGGGAAGCACAGAGTGACAGATGCA